GCTGAGGTGAGTGGATTGTCTGAGCCTGCAGGTTCGAGACCCACCTGGGCAACTTGGCGAGACCTCATCTCTACAAAAAATCAAAAAATTAGCCGGGTGTCGTAGCGCATGCCTGTAGTTTCAGCTACTTGGAAGGCTGAGGCAGAAGGATCGCCGGAGCCAAGCAGGTCGAGGCTGTGGTGGCCAGGAGCGTGCCACTGCACTCCAGTCTGGGTGACAGAGTGAGACTCCAACTCAAAAAAATAAATGAATAAATAAATAAATAAATTATTAGCCAGGCATGGTAGCGCACGCCTGTAGTTCCAGCTTCTTGAAAGGATGAGGCGGAAGGATCACCGTAGCCCAGCAGGTCGAGGCTGCGGTGGCCGGGAGCGGCCACTGCACTCCAGTCTGGGCGACAGAGTGAAACTCCATCTCAAAAAAAAAAAAAATTGTTTGGGAGGCCAAGGTTAGAGAATTGCCTGAGCCGATGGATCCAAGACCAGCCTGGGCAACTCTACTATAAATCAAGAAAAATTAGCTGGGCATGATGGCGCACACCTGTAGTTCCAGCTACTTGGAAGACTAATGCAGAAGCATCACCTGAGCCCAGCAGGTCAAGGATGCAGTGGCCATGAGCATGCCATTGCACTCCAGCCTAGGCAACAGAATGAGACTCTGGCTGAAATGAATTGAAATGAAATGAGGGCCGGGCAGTGGCTCAGCCTGTAATCCCAGCACTTTGGGAGGCTGAGGTGAGTGGATTGCCTGAGCCTGCGGGTTAGAGATCAACTTGGGCAACTTGGCAAGACTTCATCTCTACAATAAATCCAAAAATTACCCAGCACTTTGGGAGGTTGAGGTGAGTGTATTGCCTGAGCCCACGGGTACGAGACCCACCTGCGCAACTTGGCGAGACCTCATCTCTACAATAAATCAAAAAAATTAGCTGGGCGTGGTAGCACGTGCCTGTAGTTCCAGCTACTTGGAAGGCTAAGGCGGAAGGATGGCCAGAGCCCAGTAGGTCGAGGTTGCAGTGGCCATGATCGTGACCCTGTACTCCAGTGTGGCAACAGAGTGCGGCTCCAACTAAAAAAAAAAAAAAAAAAG